CATCCATCCATACATTTGTTTTTTTGGCTTCAAACGACTCCCCAAAATAATTTGAGCAACATCCACCGAGTTCCAAGTTCAACCTTCGAAGTCAGGGCAGTTCGAAGTAGATTGACCAAAAATGTCAAAAAGGTGTGCGAAGTACAGATTGTCTCCGGATATTAAATTTATACTCAACGCTTATTGGATGACTCCCAAAAATCTCGCAAGTGCCTCTCGCACCTACCAGTATATTTGTGAGTCCGGATAACGCGTTCTAGAATTTTTTTCACCCACGAAGTGCTGAATACAGTACAGGAAAAGAAACCTTGGCGCCACCCTTATTCACTCAAAGCTAACTGTAAATCGAATCATTGATATAATTGGGCAGAGCAAATTTCATCCTCAAACTCCATTGGTTCAAAATTCTTGGTCGAGGAGCGAGCTGGCGTCATCGCTGTCGGTGTGGACGATCATTTGGGCGCGTCAATCCTTTCCATGTGGGTCGATGCATTCAAATATTTCGTGCAACTAAGTTACTGTAGTCGTCCTCCTCCTGCATGGTTGCTGATCATGGTTTCGACGTTGTATCTATCTACCCATGTCTCACAAGCGCGCACGACATTGCCATTGATGTACAGTAACGATGTGATGTGAGCTATGTGATGCATAGCATCCTAACTTACTTCGAAGTAGGTAGTTTCGTGTATCGCTGCCGCACTCCAACATCCTAGATGCTCTCCTCCTACCATGGTTTTGACGATGTTATACTCTTCTCTCGCAAGCACGACATTGTCGTTGACGTTTATGACGTAATTAGTTAAGTAAAAAATCATTGACTTGCCAATGCATCATTGATTTCAGAACTTCTTGCCCAATAGAATGTTAGAATTGATATGATTGGATAAAACTTGTGACCGCACCAGTTAATATTATTCCAGGAATTATGTTATAGATTCAACCTTATTCGGAGGGACGTTGACCCTAAGATATTTAATTACTCGATAAACGAATAATAACTGTATAAGTAGATATTTATATCTTTTGCTCAGTGCTTTTGTAATACTTTAATCAAGTCTAAATTTCGGCAAATCATGGATGTACTCTCTCCGTCAAATTTGGTTACTATGGTGGACGTCATCTAAAAACTTCCAACTGGCCAAATCGAAGTGTGGAGGTTTTATTATTTAACGTACAATTAATGTAGTTAAACCCAAAAACCAGAACGTTAATTATCGATTTCATGCGTTTTATCACTGAAGTGGGAGGTTAAAGGTCCCAACTGGCTCCGGATATTATATACAGATATTAGTCACATACAAAAATCAAGATACATCTCAGGAGCCATCCCTATGGCCAAATATCTCAATGTGGCGAAGAAATGCTACGTCTCAGATTCAAATATGGTGATGAATTGGCCCTGAAATAGATATTTAACCTAGCGGTATTTTAGATCTATCGATTCTACGTCTCAATTTGCTGAAATTTGGAGTAATGAATATGAAATAGAAGTCAGAAAATTTTGTGAAAAGTTGTAGTTTATAGATGACGCGCACCATAGTGCGACATGTTTTGTATCGTTATGTCTCCACAACATTATACACAAATCATTATGTTTTACAG